TCATCGGTTTAATTCGATTTGCGAGTGGCCTCGCCAGTGGAGCATTAGCAACGCCACGGAACCGAGAGCTGCCGGATTATCGAAAGCGTGGAGGAAAGCGAAGGGAATGGCAGAGAGGAGAAGTTCTCGCGATTCAATTTATACGGTTCGCAAGAGGACAGCGCGCAGTGAGCGGACAAATGCGGGGGTTAATTATCCTTGCCACAGAGAGAGGCTCGATTATGTACAGCTATCCGGTGGCCAATAGCGCGCAGCCAACGTTCCTTCCCTCTCTTTCTCTCTCACGATCCTCCACGTGTTCTATTCTTCTTTCTTTCATCCACGCTCCTCGCTTACTGTTTTTACCCATTAGTCGGCGCGTAGAACATAACCCTGCACCTGCACCGCGCTGGGAAAAGGGTTGCCGACCCCGGGACAAACTCTCATTCTAGTACGTGTGTGCAGAGAAGCGTGTGCGCAGGAGTAAAAGCCCAGAAAAAATTGCTGCTGAACGCTTTTCAAGTGAAATTGCTGCTTGTTGGAATAAAGAAGAGTTATTTAACGAGACAAAACTGATCCAGAGTGCCCCGCGCCTTTTCAATTTCGAAACCTTTCTCGATATCGACTCGCGCGCCTCCCTTCCCTCTCTTCACTTTCTAACCAACTGCTTTCGCAAATTTTCCCTCCTCTCGCAATTTTCTTCCTTCGACAGCCTTCGACTTGAGGAAATTACGCGACACGGTCAGTTTCACGGGCGAAACTCGATTAATCGCGTAAATTAGGTAGAAATATCGGAAAGCGTCGGCGGCTATTTTCCGCGGGGCCAACGCGGACGGAGATTTTGCAGAGGGAACGCTAATGCAACCGGAAGATGGTGCGGTGAAATATAGTCGGAAGAAATAAAACGAGGGGGAGCAGAGAGTAGCGAAACGGTGGAGCAAAGAAAGGAGAAGAAAGCGAAGAGGAAGGGCGAAAGGGAAAGACAGGGAGGAGAAAGAGGGAGGTTAATTAAGGGAAAATTAACGACGGGGTTTGTCCAGCCCGGTCCATTTCTATGCACAGTTCTCCTTCTCTTTCTCGTTCCTCGACCGACTCTGACTCGAGTTAACGTCGGAAGTTCCGCGTGGATTTTTGAAATTCTAATTCGACCGTCTAATCTGCTCGATCCCTCTTCTTTTCTCTCCCTCTGACAAAGGTGGAGGAGAGACTGGGATTCTCGCGGCGCGGAGGCAACAGACTCGTCGTGGTTGACTCGAAAGGAGAGCGGTGGAAGCCAAGTCCTACAACTCTCCTCTGCACCCTCGCACAGACAGACACGACGATACGTTCGCGTATACAGGTCGTTTCAAAATATTTCTACCAACCCGTGCAGCATACGAGGGACTGACTCACGGGAGAATGGAAGAGTTTTCCATATGGGTAACGCTTTCGAAAAGGAGAAAGGAGGATGTTTCTTTCACGTATCGAGGCTTTTGTAAGCGCCAAGGGGCTTTCCCTTTTACATCCGTCCCCTTTCTTCGAGTGGAATTCCGCGGTAGTCGCTCGAGACACCCTGTACCTCGTGAGCGTAGGTCGTGGCGCGCGTGCGCGCACAACCAACATCCAGCTATAGAAGCAGAACTAATTGCGCTGTATTTAATTAAGCCGCGGATTATTTCCTTAACGAGGGCAGATCTCTATTCTTCCTTCCTACCACTTCAGCAGCAGGCTTCGCTTCCATCTTTTACAATTTTCCATCTCCACCCCTGCGAGTACGCGCGCGCGCGCGCCACCGCTGGGAGAGCAGATCTCACAGAGATCCACGGCTCCACCTTTCCCACGACAGCCTCCGGTTTTGTTCGCCTTCTCTCTTCTTCTTTCCCCCTAGCTTCTGTCACCAGCGACGCGCCACCGGCCTCACCGCCGCCGCCACCGCTAATACCACAAACACCCTTTCGTGCAAAAACACCCGCTCGTCGACGCGTTCCACGAGAACCTTCCGGTACACGTGACGCTCGATTCTGCGTTCCACGCGTTTTCACCGCAAGAATACGCGCGCGCTCGATCGATTGTTTTTTTTCCTCCGTCAAGATTGATCGTTCTCCCCTTGCGCGATTCACCCTCGCTCTCAACCCTTTTCCCAACTCTCTCCGTTCCGATCGATCGATGACATTTGCGCTTCGGTAATCGTCAAGTTGCTCAACGACGACACGGTTTACGCGTTCATTTCATTTGCTCGTGGCCGTTTTCCAGGCTGGCAAGGCACGAAGCCACGGAGAGGAGGAGTGGTTCAAACGTATCGCCGCCAAGTGTCTCTTAAAAGATGCACGCTCTTTCTGCTCGCAGTCCACTGGAACACTGGGGCTCCGCGGCGAAACAGCCTGCGCTTTCAGCCTTCCACGATGCAAACAGTTTTTTGCTCGGTTCATGAGAAACGAATTTATGCGTCCAGTTTAATGGCAAATTGCGCGTAACGCGAGTCACTTCCACCTGTATTTTCATTACCAGTTTAAAGCGTTGCGAACCAATTTCTGGATCAAGTTACACCTCGAGTGGCTCCACTTCTTTCTTTATTGTTTTTTTTTTTTCTAGCCTTTCTGTATGCCACGTTTAAAAAGAGCGCACGGTTCCGGCTGCCAGCGAATTACCATGCTGTCCTCGTCTTTGTACGTAAATTACCATAAACTGGCTTTGGTCGTACGCCGTGTCCCTGGCTTTTCACAACTTTCAACGAATGTTTCAGAATGCGTGAACGTATTACACGTAAAAGGGCACGCACCCCACACGCCAATGGGGAAAACTAATATCGCTATCGTTAAACCTCTGCGCCATTCTTTTTCTTCCCCTGGCTTTTCACAACTTTCAACGAATGTTTCAGAATGCGTGAACGTATTACACGTAAAAGGGCACGCGCCCCACACGCCAATGGGGAAAACTAATATCGCTATCGTTAAACCTCTGCGCCATTCTTTTTCTTCACCTCCGTTTGTTAGCGAAACGAACGGCCGCCCGTAGGTCTGGCCACCCGGATTTTCAGCCTATCGACGCGTTCTACCGTTCGATCGAACCCGAAGACCCGGCTCCTTGAAAAGGACGCCGCGGGCCAGAAGGGAAATTCGATCTAGTCCGGCAACCAAGTTTCCTCCTCTCTCTTTGGTGTGGAGCGGTCGGACGAGAAGAAGGGAGGCAGAAGGATACGCGCGTATCGGCAGCGAGTATCAACGGCGATGGGGGCGAGCAGGATATGAAAGAAAGGGAAATGACCGATATAAAAGGTGGGCAGGAGCAGCGGAAGGACGCCCGGTTACGAGGGAAAATCCAGTGGACGGACGCAATCTAGGAACTCTTGGGAACCAATCTCCTCTGATGAAAATACCTCGCTCGGTTTTCCAGCCGGGCCAATTTCTTTCGTGACTCTTTTTTGGAATATCGCGTGCAACCAGCTTTGCCGTCCACCTCTGCCGCGTTTACCTGAACCGTTTGCAAAATTTTCCTAGGACCTCACCAACCGCTTCCTCAGATTCCACTGTATCCTTCACCTGACCGGGGCCATTCGCTGCTTCCTTTAACGTTCAACCAACCCAGAACTCGCGGACTTATTACCTCGAAACGTTTTTAAATCGCAGACGAACACGAGGAGAGTCGCGAAGCGAAGAGGCAGATAAAGATCGAGCAATTCCACGTTAGCCCAGAGCTCTTGCTGGAATCTGCACTGCGACATTTATGCCGTTCTCACTCCCTGCTTGCCTTTTCCCGCCCCACCGAACCGCCTCGCTCCCATTTCCATCGTTATCCCTTCCTTCTTCTTTTCGACTTGCTTTCTAACCTTCAACCGATGGGTTAGGAACGGAAGGAGGTACGGGATTGCCGCGAAAGATGGATTCCGGTATCGAAGGATCGGGGCCAGGATTTTCCAGGTTATATTCGTGCCGCGAGCTATACGGTATATCCCGAGATTCGAACGTACTCCCGTTCGCGACTGCTTTGAAGAGCCACCCATGAAACTTATACCTTCGTACCTCGTGGACTTTATGATCAACCGCATTCCTCCCCCCTTCCTTCCTCAAACGCGTCCACTCTGTGTACAGAATTTATTTCCAGAATCATCTCCTTTCCTAAATGTTTGCCAATTTATCCAAAAATACTTTCCTCGCTTTTATACCACTTTATTCCTCCCCGGATCACCGCTATTGTAAATTCCCGACCGCGAATAATTCCATCGATTTCTCCCGATTTTACGAAAGAACATCGTGAAATAGCGAGGCACGAAGGAGTAGTAGTTTCGGTATCTCGGGAAGGTTTCAAGGACTCCTGACAGTCTTTAACTCGCGATCACGTTTCCAGGATTAAACGAAAAAGCGTAAACAGCAGAGATTGCCAACGGTAGGAAGAAGATCCCCACGTGGGCTGAGGTAGGACCATCGCGCGTTCCGAGCAAGAGTTGCGCGTCTTCGATTGGCTCATGCATTTTTCAACAGTCGCCATTTGTTTGATCAGACTTAGAGCTCGCTGAGAACTGCACTTTTCGCTCGGCGTCGAGTGCGACGCGCGGGTCTACCATCGGAGAGCGTATGTTTGCCCGCGTATCATGGAAATGCGAGAATGCCTCGAGAAGAAGAAGAAGAAGAACGACGTTAACGCGTTAGCTGCACAATCTTCTGCTCGATTCCTGATCGACTTTCTACCTTCTGCTACCCTCTGTGTATAAGTATATGTACATAAGTACAGACAACTATTCCTCCTCGCGAAGAAACACACCCTTTCTCCCTCGTTCTCTCCCTCGACGAGTTGCCTTTTCGTCTCAGGCTTCGGAAGAAGAGGCTAAAATACGTCGTTCGAGAGCCCTTTTCAACGAGCCGCTAAATTTGTTTGACACAGACACATTAAGCCTTTCACGGCCTCGCGAGAGCCTCGCTTTGATCTTGATTAAACTGTTTCGCGGCTCGTCGTCGTGGTGCCGCTTTCACTTCAGGGAGAAAGAGCGCCGGCCAAACTTTCAAAGCGCGTGCCACTTATAAAAAAGAAAAGAATATTCGACTTACCAATGACGGTGAGATTGTAGCGGAAACTGCGAGTCTGCCCCTTCCGGAAGTCGACTCTGCACCTGTAGGTAGCCGCGTCGTGCCTCTTGATGTCCTCGATCACGAGCTCCGCCGGGCTTGGGAACGCAGTCCGGAAATACGCTCGCGGGCCGAACACGCCTGAATCCGAGGAGTGCTGCGCTTTCGTCACCGGCTTCTCGCGGGCATCGATCCTGTAACACGTGAAAAAAAATATCCCTGGAGGTCAATAACCGGTACAACGATGTTTGTTTATCGTTGGCTCGCGACGTAATCACACCGTCGCGTCCCGTCGCGTCGCTTCGAACAATGGAAGCGCACCGTGCGTTGCCAGGTCGGATAAACGACAATGGGATTTATCGAAATTCCGTAACGGTTAGCGTAACACAGTGACAGAAAGAATCCGTGACGAGAATAGGATGGGCGTAAAATTGCTTAGGCGTTGCTAACTTCAAATTTTTAATTCGTACAATGAGTTGTATTTGCTGCGGGATAAATTTCACGAATTTGAACGGTGCTTACTTTAATAGCATCGCCCGAGTTCAAAATTTCAATACTTGCAATTTCATTGGTTTAACTTCAAATTCGAATATTTCTGTGCGTCGTCCTTCCCCATTGTGTACGTCGCCCGGGCAAAGCCTGTGAAAAATCCAGGCTGAATCACTTCGCAATCCCCGAAAACAGACTTTCAGGCGATAAATCTAGCTTATCGAAAGCGTAATAATAATTATCGAGAACGCCGCGGAATTGAAACGCTGAAATAAATCATGCCGCGAGTCGCCGGCAGAACGCTGTTCCCATTGTACGAGATTAATTCATATTTAATCTAGAGGTATGCAGCTAATAAAAATGAAGAGAGAGAGAGAGAGAGAGAGGGTGGGTGAAACTTTAGCCTATAATCGAGCAAGGAACTCGGATGGAGGCGCGTTTGATGGAAAGCCAGTCGGTAGTGTCGAGGAGAACAAAAAGAGATACTCGATACCATTGTTCGCATTCTCAGGGACTTTCCGCGCGGAATCGGGGAAACTTCTTGCTTTCCCCGCTTTGTCTTTGTCCTCTTCCCCCGTCCCTCGTTTTTTCTTCGCCGGGACGTTCGACTTGGCCGTGGAATGGCAAGAATTCGCGGAACGGCTTGCGGTATTCGATATGTATGTAGGAAACGATCGCAATTTCCGGCCAATGAAATTCGAGTGGAGCGTAGAGGTTTCATTGTAACGGAGCACACACAGAGAGAGGCAAAGTGGACCGAGAGGACAGAGAACGAGCCGGAGGTAGAGTGGAAAAGGACGAGGAGAACCGGTCGAAAAAGTCTCTTCCATTACGATTCATCGGGGCGAGGCCGGCCGCGGCCATTATTGCTCGCCTACTACAGAATAGAATTATTTCAAATCGCTGGAATAATTATCGTCGAGCGAGAGTCGAACGCGCGGCCGGTCAGAGATAACGCAATTACACCGCTCTCCGCATTATCCGATATTTTCGACGCGTTCGGATACCTCTCGTTTCCGATCAAACAGCTCTCCTCTGCGTCTCACAGAGATTGTCGTGTATCCACGGTGAAATTTTACATTCCCAATACGTTCTTACAATCGCGATTATTCACTTAACGATAGAGGCTACTTAATTACGTCTTCTTAGAAGCTTAACACACTGGACTAGACTATCGATTAGACTACCGAGTCCTAGAAAAATGCTTCCGCTCACGCGGTATCGATTACGTTCGGTAAAACAACAAAGCGTAACGTTACCTTAGGAGTGCCGGGAGCCATTGTCGGGGAAACAATTACGAGTTACGACGGCGTGGCTAGTACGCGACGTGAAAACAACGCACCTTTCTGTTGCACTACCACCTCGAGCAACGAGTGTCATCTGAACGACTTGCACCAGGCATAGTGTTGACATTATCCCCGATCAAAGTCTTAACCTCCCCACACTCTCGCGCGTCACGCCTGCTAAGGACCTTCTCCAGTCCGTAACAAACTGTTTTTACCACTTAGCCGGGATTTCGTCGCGTGTTCCAAGTCCAACTGTCGTCTAAATCCTCGACTTTCGAATAACGTTGATATCTCGAACGAAATTTCTTCACCGCGGAAGCTTCGTAGACTAATTTCATTTCTCCTTCGTACATTATGCGACGACAGGGGAGGAGGGTCGAGCGATAAAACCATCGTTAATGTACTCGTTGACACCGGAAAATTTTTTTCCGCCGGAGAGACCGTTGCTCGGTGACAGTCGTGCATACAAGACGGAAGCGGATCGCGAAATAAATGATGACGGGGATGAAAGACGATGGTATATAAGGTTGGTGAAATGGTGGAGATTGATGAACCTAGCTTGGCTGGAAAAAAACGGATTAAAATATGGCGAAAATTTCCGCGTGTTTCCATCGTTCTTCTTGTCGTTTTCTCCGAGGCATGTACCTACACCGTCTCAATTACTCTCTCTACTTCTCCCTTCGCCCGCCGAAAATTTCCCCACCGGTGGGTGATTGATGTATGAAATAATCGCGACATCGTAATTTGTAAAATACGCGGTTACGGTCACGTCGTCCTTTCGGTTACTTTCAAAATCTCCTTTCATTCACGTTTTATCCGCTCACGTCGAGCGCGATTCATTATCAATGCAGTAAATACATTATTAAACGTTGCTCGGGAGAAACACACAAAAGGGAACGATACGATTATAATAAAACGAGAACGCGCTCCTGTTCCTTTTTTCAGGATAAAACTTCATAAATGTCCGTTAATCACGGGAGTTCGTTGCACCGCGTCGATTACTTTCGAAAGTCCAGCGATTTCGTTGAGTTCATTTCAACGGTAACGCTTCTTCCTCGAAATTTTCGATAAAAATTTTCCAACCTTTTCGCATAGAGTGAAACCCCTCTGAACATCTTCTGCGATATTCGTTAACGTACAGCGTAGTATATACAGCCAGTTAAAAACGTCTTGATCGGTGGCCGTGCCATGGTGGGCGATAAAACGAGAACAGAGGGGAGGAGAGGAAAAAAAAATGTCAAGTGAAATACTGTTATGGAACGAAGGTTTAATGCGCCATAATTATGTAGCATAAGCCGGTACCGCGTAATGCACCATGGCCGTAATTACGGGGGCCTCGCGATTCCTCGTATTTACGACGGTGCCATCTTGCCGGTCCATAAAATTACGGAAAGTCCGGCCAATCCGGCAGGGCAGCCTCGCCGTAGAAGCAATTCTCCGTGGATGATTTTCGATTTCGGTTTCCAAGTTTCCCGCAGGAACAATCGGAAACGGTGTTTATTCCGACGAACGAATCGCGAGGCACGGAAAAGTTGGCCGCGCAAGAGGGAAGTTTGCCGAGCAAAGCCGCTTTCATCGAAGAAAGCTCGGAATTACAAAACATCCACGTTCAATCCCCGGAATTCAATCTAACCAGCTTCGTTAATTGTCGACAGCAATTGAAATCCTCCGAACTTTCTTCGTCGAACGCTGCGATTTCGCCGATCGATCGAACATAACGGCTGGACAAATATTTGCAGAATCACGCGCGGTGTCTTAGCGTTGCTGCTGATCGATGTTACGTGAAACAATATTCGGTTTCGCGCGATATTTTCGTAGAACAGCGAGCATGCTTTTTGTCGAACGTCATTCCACCTGGCGTATCGGTAAACCTTTCCACGTTCTATTGTCCGAGTAGGTGTATCGCTTTGAAAAATTTCACACAGGCCTCGTCTACTTCATTCTTCCCTCCGGTGGGTTTCTCTCCAGGGCCTGGTCCGTGCCGATAGACAGAGGGATGGAAAAAAAAAGGCGAGAAATAGGTGAAATAAGAGGGTGGAAGGAACACTCTTTAGACGCAATAAGGAAACGCGTATCTTTTTCTCCGGTTCGTAAGAGAGAGGAAAGAGTAGCGATTTTTCAGCCACTCGGCGAGAAGCTCTTCCGCGGCGTGGCGCGGCAGACTGCTCGATTCACGTCGACGCGCTACCGAGTAATACGGAATCGATGTCTGTTTTATGAAACGTTTTATCTCGCCGCGCAGCCCGTTTTCCAATATTTCGCCCCATTCTCGCTCCACCACCTTCGCGACCTTCTCCTTCGACTCCTCTCGATCCCCGCGTCCCACTTATCCTGCTCCTTCTTTCTCTTCTTCTTTTACACCGTTACCCACGTCCCTTCTGCTCGGCCCTCGTCTCGTAAAAATGATACACGCCCTCTGGGCAAAGGGTAAATAGCACCGGTATGAATATACGGCTCTTGGTTCCGCGTCCACCTTACAACCCGTTCTTCCGAGGTTTCCCTTCTTAATTAACTTTCACGACTTTCCCAGCTACCCACCCGCTGGGTAACCCACCTAACTAGAACGAACGATCGGTAATGAAATTATCAATCGGCCTGTTAACGATCACGGTCCTTCCGTCTCTTCGTCTTCGAATGAAAACTGCTTCTCCTTATTTTGCCTTTCTCTATTTTCCGAGGTTATTCGAGAGAGAGAGAGAGAGAGAGAGAGAGAGAGCGCCCAAGTTTAGAAGACGAAGGAAAAGTTCGGAGGGAAGACATCGAAGAAAAAGTTCTCTCGTTGTCGATTAGAAGAACCGTTCGAGTCGGTGGGCAAGTCACGGGGACCACGATCCATTTTCCATGCGCCGCTGCGTAATTACAAGGGGCACCGTGCGGTTCCTTTTTCGCTATTTTGCCCCATTTACGTTGCTTTTCCAACCGCAAGCTTTAACCTCCCTCCCCTCCTTTTTGCCTGCGTTCTCCTCGTAAAAATGACGCATGTCCTCCGGGCAAAGGATAAATAGCAGCGGAATAAATGGAGACCATCCACCATTTACTTTGCTCACGTTTCCTTCAAGGATATTGTATATCCATTTGTTTATTGTCACGCTAATTTCGTGACGCTTTCGTTGCCAGTTGTTTTACCCAACCTTCTTTTTACTCCCCTCGGACGTCTTACAAATTTATACATTTACTCTCAACCGTCTCAGGACGTTTCTTCTTTCCCGTGCTGCTCTCCCTCTTTATTCCATTCCTTCCTTTTCATTTTACGACCAACATTTTTCTATTCACCGTACCTGCTGCGTCTTGCGCCGCGGACGTGCAACAGCCACAAGGATATCTTCTTTTGAAAATGAGAAAGGGGGACAAATAGGGAGAGAGAGAGAGAGAGAGAGACTCGAGGGAAACGAAAACAGGCGAAACAGATAGGAATAAAAGGTAAACCCTTTACGGTCCGTTAAAGAATGGAAAAATTATTAGAGGCAGACGATTAAAAATGTAATTTCCAGTTCGTTAGCCGCGCGGCACATGCGTTCCTTTCCCCCGCGTTTGGCATCGCGCTTTCATTTTTTATCCTCAAACTCCGCGGCGTAAAAAATGATAAACGTTCCGCGGGCAAAGGGTAAATAACAACGGGATATAGGTATGTACACCACACACTTGTCACGCGGTCGTGTCACTATCGTCGCAGCGAAATGCTCGCTGTTCCGGGGGACCGCGAAGTAAAATCACGGGAACTCGGTCACTTCAGCATGATCTCGTCCACTTTTGGCCAATTTCTACCCACGCGCAACGCACCGCGAGTACACTGAACATTTTTTTCCCCCGTGTACACAGGAAAATATACAACCACGTCGTATTTTTCCTCCCCTTTTTCCTTCTTTTCTACGTTTTAAGCGCACTTCGATTGAAACGTGTAGCATTTGTTTTAATTGAAGGTAAACCGAGGCAAGGAAGGAACAGTATTTCCACGCGAAAAGGAGAAGAGCCGGACGTCGATGAATTCGCAGTTCAAAGGAATCTCGTCCATTTTTGTTATTGCGTCCGCGTCGAATTTGAGAGGGCACCGGTACCAGAGGCGAAAAGAGCATTTCGCCGAGACAGGAATGACGAGGGAACGCTTGTATACGATAACTCGTATTCCAACGATTGCTATTTGTTTTCACGTCCGTGCTGTTGGCGACAATGAGTCTCGTCGAAATGGAAGTTGGTTTCGGTGAATATTTCCGGGCGGGTCCGCGTGTACGTGTACGTGTGTAGGTCCGCGTAGTCCTGTCCACGGCCGCGGCGCGACGGATTTCAGTAGAAATAACGACATGCAGTCAGACATATCGGAACGGAACACGTAGTTGCGACTGACGCTATCGTGACGTACTACTGCCGGCCGTGTGCTCTCTTCGTTTCTACCCCTTCGTTCTTCTCTCCCTTTCTTTTATTTCCTTTGAAGTAATGTAGTTACGAATAATAAGGCGCGACTAGGGTTACGCTACGTACCCACACGGTAGTAGTGAGATCTTTTATTAAACGTTGGCTGACGGCTTTGGAGGTCCGCTTTTTTCCTACTGCCTTTCGGCTACGTGTTAATCATCCCTGATTGGTTAACCCGTCGCATCGGTGTTAACCAATCAGGTAATTTCTTTCCGAGTCGCCCCTTGGCGCACTTTTTCGGGGACCGCAGTGCGACTTGGCGTGGAAGGTTTCTCCCGTGACGTCATTTGGCGACACAGCTGAGTTTCCTCCAGGTCAGGTACTCGTGACCTGCCGGTCCGGGCCTCGTACCGCGGGCCTTTCGGAAACCCTTGGTTTATGATGCGGCAATTTGCTATTGAGGCCGTCGGAGAAAATTTCTACGCGGACATGCATTGTCGAACATTGTCGTAGTCTGCTCGCCAAATGTTCTTCGCTGTAGCTGGTCGCTACACCTCGGACATGCACGAGTCTGTTCTGTCGTGAGGTATTAAAAAGAAGAAATATACCTTTCGAAAATTCAAGAGTTTCACCGACAATGAGACCACTACTAACTACCCCGAATAACCTATTACGTATGCGCGGTTCGAACAAAAGGGGGATACGGGAGGTTCATCAGAGCTGCTCGACGACAACGTGATCATGCGTCGAACACGTAAGTTATTGGCTCAAAAGTAT